TGTCTGTTACCTACAATCAGTGTAATCAAATGAAAGAAGGCTAAAGAAAGTTTAATTGCTGAAAGAAGATTAAATGTATTTTAAACATGCTTCTTTGGAGTTTAAGCACTATAATCAAGAACCAAATGTCCTGCATAACTAGTATAGTGTAGAACATGTAGGGATGCTTTAAATACAAAAGATACAAAAAATAAAAAAAGCAATTTCAGTTGTGACAACACACCTGAAGTATGGCTGGCTGGGGGACATGGTGATCTGTAGCACCTCACTTGTCATGTCCAGTTCAGAGAAGGCCTCCTTCAGACTCTCTGACTGCAGGATCACCTTTAAAACAAGGGACCAATGTACACACATAGTAATCAGTCAAGTGCCATTAAAACAAAACTTGCAGATTCTGTCATATGTATTCCTAATGGGTTTATAAAATATACAAGTCACTGAAAGAGAAGACAAAAGAAAAGGTGCATCTTTACTTTCAACTGCAGCCTCTAAATAGATGGGTTCATACGAATTTGTATTAGTTAATCTGCCAAATTTATGTAGAAGTAAAATATATCTCTTTCAGTATATGAAATTGTGAAAGCCAACCTTGTTTGTGACATTGGTGCTGCAGAACTCAAAGTCAACTGGCTCTTCTGGTTCCTGGGTGTTGATCTTGCACACAGTCACTACCCCACCCTCTTCCAGGAACAGGGTCAGAGGATAACCGTACCCCCTGTAGCACATCCGCAAGGCTGTTGATACTCCTGCAACATCACAGGAGGGTGATAGTGAAAATGTTGAGTCACAACCACGACAGATAATCTGACTATGACTACAGAATAACACAGTTAGTAAATTGGTCCTTAATTGAATAATAACTGTTGTTTTCTTTTGCGCACTCTCCAATCAGCTTTCCTTATCTTTACCTGGCACTGTGCTTCCTCCAAAGATATTGAGGCAGTCCAGCAGAACTGTGAGGTTGACCTGAAAACCCACTGAATCTTCCTTTATGGTGAACTCTTGGAAGATCTCAGCCTGGAATACAAAGAGGACAAATCTTTTCTATCGAGTATCACCATTATAATTAGGAGGAACTCAAGACTATTTTCAACTGGATCACTTCCACTGAATGAAATGATTCAATGAAAAAAACACACCTGGATGAAGGCATTGGCTTGTAGACATTTAGAGTCCTCCACAGTGACCTTCAGGCCGTTGGGTGTGGCGTTGAAGATGGCATGGTCTTTGAATGTGATTGCTTTCAATATGTTGGACAGATTGCGAGCATTATCCAAACTGGCCATTAAAACGTATTGTTCATCTTCAGCTTGTGACTGGGTTAACAGAGGCATTGTGGCACTGAATAGGAGATACACAGAAATTTACATGAAACATTTGGATGGCAAATGTTCAGGGGGGGTTTAAAACTGCACAAAAACAATAAACAGCAGCTTAAATATAGAATATTTCGATAACAGCTATGCATCTTTATCTTGCGTCCCCAGAGTCTGGGCTAAACATGGAGAGCAGCATTTAGTTTCTGTGCACATTGCACATATGTAGAACAAACTGACAGAAAACTCCAGGTCTGCTGCAACTCTAACATAAGATATATGTTGTGTTAACTCTATGAAGTTCTTTTAAATCACGACTGAAGACTTTTATTTTGCCGCAACCTTTTTTTCATTTCTTACACTGCGCTGTAACTTTTAGAATTGTATTTTATACCTGTCTTCGTTTTGTTGTGAATTTGATTTTATATTCTCTAACCCTTTATTGTGTTTCTTTTATCACGATGTCTATGCTTTTGATTATTTACGTAAAGCAATATGAATTGCCTTGTTGTGCTTATAAATAAACCTGCCTTGCCTTATCTTTTACAACTTGGATACTTAGTCGAAAATGTTGATGTACCTATGTTGACGCATAAAACCTGCTGTCTGTTTCTGACCAATTTTAAGCCTGGCTATATGAAGGCACATCACATGTAGCTAACGTGAGGTAACACATAAAACAACTTAAATAACAAACTGCCGTGAATTCCAGTGTTATATATTGTTCTATCTAGAAAGCCCGGTGAATAAACTTATAAAAAAATGTTACTGTTATCTGTGAGAATGTGTCAGACACTTACAAAGTTGTACTTCAGAAACACGTATGGCTGTGTTTTGAAGAAGGGCGCCCAGGTTTGCATCAACTTCCGCTTCTCTCTTCTTCTACGGAAGTAGATTCTGCGCATGTGCAGTTGCATTCCGGAGACTTCGCCGATACCAAAACACACGAGAGTTTTCCTGTCTACAGCGGCAGTAAGCGACAATATCGGTGTTTTGTGATCCACAGAGGTAAGAAATATTGCTCAGTCACAGTTACATGGCTAGAAAAATGTTGTTAAGTCTGCAGGTTTAATATCCTGTTCTTCATATCTGTTACGTATACCGAGAAATGACAGAAAGCTAACGTTAGCATTATAGCTAGCAGTGTCTCTGATGACGTTGTGACACGATCTGTACCAGAACAGGTTAATAACACACCAAACGGACCTCAACAGGTCAATAATTAATGTTACAAAGAAGAGCTAAAGACGCAGCCTCTGAATTACTTCTATGGTGTTTTCAAAATAACATTTAAACACCACGGAGAGAGATATATTGATAGATCCAGTCACATGACTTGTCCAGTGAAATAGATATATATGTCGACCTTCTTAACACAAAGTTTCACACCTCTGTGGTCACTGAGTAACTTGTTAATCATGTGTGTTCTTTCCCTGCTTTAGGTTCTTCATTTTGGGCGGCCTGTCTGAGCCACAGTCATGGTGTGCATTCCCTGTATTGTGATTCCTGTCCTGTTGTGGGTCTACAAGAGGTTCCTGGAGCCTTTTATCTATCCCTTCATTTCACCTATTATTAATACATTCTGGACCAAAAAGGCGGTCCAGGAGACGGGTGCTACTGACCAAAAGGTTAACGAAAAGAGTAATGGAACTTGTAAGGTAAGTTAACTTAAAAGTAGAAAAATCCCATGTTTCCACAACTGACCCAAACAGGAACCACTTAAACACAGCTCACCCAGAGGCTTTGAATGTATTTCCAACAATTTCGTAACATCAATTAATGTAATTGAATTTTGCAGGTTAAGTTGGGTTTCACTTGACCAAATGATGACTGATAGTGGTGTTAGTTTTAGAGCTTCTCTCATGATTTTGTGTGTCACTAACAGCACTTCTCTTTCTTCTGTGTTTCAGCTTGAAAGCAATGGTGAAGCTACTGCCAATGGATCCACTATAGCAGCAGATAAGAAGACAGATTGACAGCTCCAAATGTTTATAATGCATCTAAAACTGTGTAAATATTCCATTAATATAACTTAGAGAAACTATGAATTAACTTATCATTCTTCTTTGAATTACATGGTTTTCAATAACCATCCATGTTGTGCATACCTTGCTTTTAATTTTTCTTTTCCATTTGTATCACAATAACTCTAAGAAATTGGTTATTGTTGATATGTTTTCCACATCTATTATGAATCGATAAATGCATTTATTGTGTTGAATATTCACTTTCAATGGAATAGCTTTTCTAAGTCAAACTTGTAGTATAATGACTGAATAAAAGAAAATCTTCAAAAAAGAAAGATGCTCATTTATTGATCTTTTAGTAAGCTGTGCTTCTGCTTCAACTAGCTTGTTTACCTGGTATTGTAAAGCAATTAAGGGCTTGCTGTTTATATTTTGTGACATTTTAAATGATATACATGTGACATCAATGTCATACCTATGCAAAATGGTTTGACAGCAATTTGATCATTGGTTTTCGATGAAAAATCATAAAAGAAAGCAAGATTTTAGCACTTCCATGACCATTCTTACATGTATTGTGAGAATTATGCAAATTTTAAAGATAAAACAGTAAGTAAGTGGAAATGAATAATTTAGCCCAGACACACACACATATACTTTTCCAGCATGTATTTCTGTTTTTGTGTGTACTCACTCTTAGTGGAATAGTCTTCCCGCCTCTCTCTCTTAATATACATGTATCTCATTTATCCTATACCAGAGGTGTGGACTTGAGTCACATTAATTGGACTCACATCAGACTCAAGTCACAAATTTGAAGACTTAAGACATGTCTTGACAAAACCAAAACAACCCAACTACAATTATAACATCAGTGACTCATGACCTCACTTGGACTTGAGCCTTTTGACATGAAAATACATGATACCTTCCCCCCAAGCCCAAACAATAAAGGGTATGTTGAAAGTGTTGAAAGTGTGCCACAAACCAGTTTGTTTCCTGTATTAACCAACATTAACACTTGATTTCCAGCAAGTCGACACTTATTTCCCCAGATTTACTGCAAACCTCTCTGACAACATCCTATCAAGTTGCAGGACAGAAACAATGAAGAACTGTTTTTAAGTTACTGAGTGCCAGTTGTAAAAAAAAATACAACAAAGATAATATTGTTTGTGTACAAAAAACAGTGTGGTGGTCATAAAAAAGAAGGAACTGCAGTACCCAAAACATGCAGGGTGAAAAATTACAGATAGAGATGCAGCAACCTCCAGCAAGCGTGTGAACAAACAAGTACAAATTTAAAAAACATTGATGATTTTTTGTAAATTTTGCATATTATTACTCTTGTTAAAGTGGCATTACGTTTGGTGAAGAGTGACATGACTTGGGACTTGAGTGCAAAGACTTGAGACTTGATTGTGACTTGCAAAACAATGACTTGGTCCCACCTCTGTCCTATAGCTTGCTGACAAATTTCATTAGACCTCAACTATTTTTTCTGATTTATCATTTAAAAGAGCATTTGACGTTCCTTTTGATTATATTCAGACAGTTTAAATGTGATAGCCTGTGTAGAATTATCTAAGATATGAGGTATAAGAAATGATCTTGTGAAATAGAACTAGATCTAGAAATCTACTCTAGAAAAGTGTCTATCTATTGGCCCTATTTCTATCTGCAGCGTCACAGACGTAATCAACGCCCATATGTCGTCATCACGCAAGGGGTGGCGACGTGGAAAACATGGAGGAAAGGAGTATGTAGAGTAAACTTAATTGCTTCAAATTAGCTACAAATTCAAGTATTCGCCTTTGGAAATTACAGTTAATGAAAACATTGGACAAAACTGTTAATTAGCTTAAAAAACAGCCGCCATTAACGGTCCTGGGCGCCGAGAGAGCCGCGGAGACTGCGAGCAGCATTTATGACAGGTAAGCGGTCAGCTGATAGCAAACAAGCCGTGGACGTTAGCTGTTTTCTGGACACTGACTATTAACCCGCCGGTTAACTTGACACCCATGAATAAATAATTTACCTAGCTATGATTTCATGCTAATGTGTGACCGTTTGTACAACGTGTTGACAGCCAAAATTGCGGAGTTATTTTCTTGCACTTGAAACAGGATGAGCTAGCTAACGTCATGCAAGTTGGGTCATTAACACAGCAGATGCAACATTAGTGACGTTATGAGCAGATACAGCTAAAGGCGTATTAAATAGCACACTGAATCTGGTAACTGGGTATTGCTCAGGCAAGGTCACAAAAGCCCGTTAGCCAATGGCAACAAGAACATAATAAAATGGCATGTGTCAAATGGCATTTATACCTTTTATGTATTGCTATAAATACTAATAAGTATAAACTATTCTCCAGTGGTTTACCACAACTGTGTGCTTCCAGTATGCTCCAGTTTACTTGGCTGGCTGGCTACACTTGTGTGCTTAAGGTGTGTCAATCCAAAAAAACAAAACTTACGTCCTGGTTCCGTCTATGTCATCCTGTAATGACTTGGCCTGCCTTTCAAATGAAGGCATTGGACTTGGTAAGGACAGGTGATTTTTCTTGCATATAATTAGTCAAATCAAGGATTTGATTTGAAAAACATGGATAGGAAGACTAGAGATCCACACTATCAGTCCCAGTGGCAGCATGTCTTCTTTGCATTTTTGATTGGCTCCTGGAGTTTTGTGTTACATCTTTGTTATGGATAGTGAAACTAATTTAGAAGTGATGTGTAGTCTGAATTGTATTTATGTTTACTAGTGCTAAAAGAATATAATGTGTCTCAATTATGTGCCAGTTACATCCCCACTGGCCTTTCTGCTGCACATTGATGTTTGTGAGGGCCAAAGGTCCCTGTATTTAAGGGAGAAGCCAAACTCTGGGTGCCTGATAAAAAAAAAAAAATTCAGTAAGGCAGATATTGCTGAAGTGTCGTCACCAGCTTGACTTGGATATACTGTGGCTGCATGTTTTTTCTTAGCTAACTGGACTTTTTCTGTAAAAATAACTCTTGGCAGATATTCTCCGTGTTGAGTTCATAATTAATCTAGTTTTGTAAATTACTTTCCAGCATTCAAGCATTTTTCAGAGGGGCAGATTTATGTTTTTTATTAGAGAGTAGACAATACAGACAGGAAACAAAGGGAGAGAGAAATGGGGAATGGCATGCAATAAACAAAGGTCCTCAGGCTGAACTGGAAACACTGATTATAGGGTCAGCTCCTTAAACCCCAGGGGTAGCAGGGTGTTCACTTAATAATTTCAAATTTTACTGCATATAGAGAAATGTAATAGCGCTGTGTCAAATATTAGCTGCTCACCTCAAAACAGCCCTCAAATGGTCCACTCATACCTGACTGATTGGAGCTTTTCAGTTTTCCTCAGCGAGCACTCCTCCGTGGTGGCTCGACTTACTTGTGGGGTTCCTCAAGGCTCCATTTTGGGCCCTGTCCTCTTCTCACTGTATATGCTGCCTGTGGGGTCCATTTTTGATAAACATAACATTTAGTTTCATTGCTTTGCTGATGATGTCCAGATCTGTTTACAATTAAAAACAAATAGTACAAATTCTACACAGCTTTTGCTGAAGTGTTTATATGATATCAAGACTTGGATGAATTTAAACTTTCTCAATGTTTTTCATATAAGACAGAGATTGTTAGGTTTGGAAGACCAGACCTATTGGTTGACTGCTGGTTTTTCTTGGCCCTTTAGTATCACACAATTCACCTTTTGTTAAAAATCTTGGTGTAAGTTTTGACAGTTCCTTCTAATTTGATAAACAAATTAGTTCAGTTGTCAAAACTAGCATTTTTCAATGAAGACTTTGACTTTGTCAGAATAAAGCCCTATCTCCCCGCCAAAAATTTCAAGAGAGTTATCTATGCTTTTATTACCTCTTGGTTAGGTTATTGTAATTCTTTGTATGTGTGTGTAGATCAGTAGATCTGCAGCCACTTATCTTCTAACTGGAAAAGGAAAGCAAGCGATTGAACCTTTGCAGTGGCTGTCCCTAAGCTATGGAACAGCTTACCTTTACAAATAAAAACTGCTCCAACATTAGAAACCTTTAGGTCGCCACTAAAGACCCACCTCTTTTCACTGGCGTACAACTGATTCGAGACTGACAACCTAAACTGAATCTAACTGAACCTAATCCTCTGTTGTGTTCCAATTTGCTCTATTATGTCTATTGTTGATTGCTTTTGTATCTGTTTTAATATTTTATGCCAATTACACACTCTATAAATAAAAATTGACTTGACTTGACTTGACTAATAAAGTCTTACAGGAATACATCACCACCTTGTATTCAAGATAAACAAGAAAAGCAGCATGACTTCCTGACTTTCGAATGGTCGTTTATTTTTATGTTGCCTTAAAAGCATAACATTCTGTGAAGTGGCATAAGACATTCTTCACATAGTTTAGGACAAACAGAGTTGATCATTATTTGTGATGGCACCAAACTTAAGAGCATTTCCTCTGCCACAGGATTTGGCATATGCCTGGTGAAAAAGCAGTGAAGAGCGGTGAGTCTGGCTGACTGGAGCCAGTAGAGATGGGAGCCAACACCAGCCAGGTCAGTGACCTGTCCGATAACCCCAGCCTCAAGTCCCTGGTAGGCACGGAGTCTATATCAGAGAATGACCCTTTCTGGAACCAGCTCATCTCCTTCACCTTCATCAGTCCCACTAGCAGGTAAAAAAACACACATATAGAAAGGTGCTGTTCTGTCAGACATGTGACTGATTATGTGCTAGCATGGTTCAAAATTCAATGATTATTAGTTTCAGGATGAAACTTGGTTGCAGCTTCACATGAAAAAGTGTTGCATTCTTTTCTCTGTCTTGGTGTCATTATAAAGACAATACTTGGCAATAAAATCTTAAGACACAGTCCACTTAATAGCTTTCCTCTGTACTTTCAGCTTATTCCTATGATGCTGACGATATAAGATGTCGTGGAAAGGTCAGGGGAAAGTTAGTAAATGGACCTTGTGTTAAGAATTTCCAGCTAAACTACTATATCTTAGGTCAAAACATTTCACACTCATGAGTTATTGATAAAGTACATTTAAAAATGTCTGTTTTTGCTTTCATTACTTGTGATTGTCAGGCCATCCTGTCAAGAGCATATAGACTAAATCATCAGAATAAGAATAAAAATAACTTGACACTGAAAAACATGATGGCAATAATCAGAATAATTGTTAGTTCCAGCTCTAGATGAAATTCCTGCATGCAGAAAAAAACAAGAAGCCAGCCAGGAAGGGAAACAAATTGGAGTTAAAATTGATTGTGACAGTGGCAACATTTCCTGAACTGTAAACCCTCAGGGCCTTGGTGGAAAATATATCTCCTGGAAGTGTTTCTCATCAAAATTTTATAGCTGGTGTGTTTAAAAATTTAGTAGGCAACAAGCTATTAGTGACTCCTCCAACAGCTTCTTGCAAATTCCTCCGTTTTGGATAAATCTCCTCAAGCATCTACTCAAGAGTAGTAGTACTCTCTTCCAACATTCCAAAAGACATTTGACACACAACCTTTCCAATGAGGAAGACCTTAAAGATTCCCAACCAGGATCCAACAACAGTGGACTGTGGACAGGATGTTTGCAGAGCTCACCTCAGTAATCATTTAACAGGGTTATTGTCCTGCTTGACTGAGAATAGATTGACATTTAGTTCCATTGTAAATAGTGTTGAGAGGGAAAGACACCGCCTCACCTCCCATCAGACTGACTGATTTTACATACTCATCATTCATTCACCTTTGAAATGTTAACAGTGCATATACACTTGTGTACTAATCCTGCTCGTTATTGTGCTATCTTTCTTTAAATAATTTTGAAAATCATTTTATTTTAACACAAACTCAAGATATAAAGTGAACATAATATGAGCACTGGGGACAACACAGGAAAGAGGACTGTTTGAGTGGTTTAAAGGAATACTTCACTCACAAAATGTCCATTTGTATATCAGCTAGGTACGCAGTGTTACCTTCAAAACGGCAAACGTGTTGATTTATTGATTGGGGACCACGTTTAACAGCAGCAAATCTATATCAAAACATCCATTTGCAAACTCTCACACAACTTGTGCAGTATAGTCCAAGTCTCATTTAGCTAGTCTCATGCTTAGTTCTTCACAAACACATGCATTTTTGGTAAAACCTTACAATTCAAAACTGAACTGAAAGCGAAACTTTTCCATGCTCCCTTCAAATCTAGACTCCAATGTGTGTTTGTGAAGAACTGAGCATACAACGATAAATGAGACTTGGATTATATTGCACGAGTTGTGTGAGCGTTTGTAACTGGATGTCTTGATATAGTTTCGCTATTGTTAAATGCGGCCCCCAAATCACTTAATAAACCAACGTGTTTGCCGTTTTCAATGGAGGCATTCAAGGAAAACAATATACCTTAAAGTCACTGCTGCGGCGATTATTTTCATGATCGCTAATTGTTCAAAATGTTCATCACAGGTTCCAAAAGTCAAAGTCTACATATTTAGATTGCTTGTCCTCTTTGACCAACAGTCCTTAACTCAAAGATTTTTAGGTTATTACCATAAGTGTTTTCTCCTTTTCTGTATAAATCTCTTCTTCTCTGTTTTTCTTTCAAAATAGTGGAGACTCCAAGTTACTGGAAGAGGCTGTCATCCCCCTCGCCAAGATCCTCAGTATGTTGCCTGTGATATAAATATGCTTCATATGTGATATTTAAAAATGTTTTACTGGTCAATACCCTGGTCAGGTTGTCACAATGTGTGTCAGCTTTTCAAGAGTTCAAATTAAAAAAATAATCACTGTTTTTTTCTTGTTGTTTGCATGCCAAATTATCAGATTAGAAGGTTTTGTTATCTTATGTAATGCTTCTGATTAAGTTCTCTCCTCTTTTTTTTTTCCAAGTTGAAAACAATCCCAGAACGGGGAACTTTGGCGCTCTTGTGAGAATTTTCCTGGGAAGAACCAAAGAGCTGAAAATCTCTACAGAATGCCAAGAGTGAGTATGGGAACCTCAGAGGAGATGATAAACTCAGATGAATGCGTCAGTAATGATAGACCCCATGCATGTCAGTGTTCGCTGCGCGGGAGTGCTGGCTACTTATTGTTTGATCACAGGCAGTCAGCGAATCCTTATGTTTTTACAGGGGAGAAACACTGAAGTGGTTACAGTTTCCCATGAGAAAACTGCTGAGGTATAACCATCAACACATGTGGCATTATTCTGCACCGGCTGCCAAGATCCATTTCCATAGAGATTGACCCTGCCTAAGTCACCCAAAATGCTTCGGGTGGAACTCTTCATTCTCTATTAAACATCATTAGAGGTTGGAGTTATCGCTCCCAATCCACTCCCATCTGTTTTTCTCACATTTCGTAACAGATTTTGTCCCATAAACAAACCAACATTTTTGGTGTCAAAAATAATTGGCATGTGCAAATTGTCAATTTGTGGGACTGATTAGACACCCCCAGTTGGTGTTTAGTGGTTGTGAAACATTGTGGCTTGCACTGGATGGTTCCAATCATTTCTTGTTTTCCTCCTCATTTGTTTCTCACCAACTTTGTCCCAAATTTGTCTCTGTGTGAAAATATAGTAACTTGTGTAGTATCATTATATGCTATGATGGTATTCTCACGGTGTTTGCTTGGGTGTCAAAATTACGGTTGTAATGCAGTTATGAGACAACGGTTCACTGTCACCATTTTAGTCAGTACAGAGGAAGATGAATATGATGTACAGTAACTCAAAAATCATAAGGGATGATAGGGATTGTGTTTGAGAAGGACTAGAGGGTCACTTCTTTGAATTTGACCCTCACTCAAAGTATGCTACACTGGCTCTGCTCAGTCCATGGCCATCAGTGTAAGATGATAATAATGTGATAACCTGATGCTGTCCAGTTTCAAGTAGAGTTGTTGCAATACTGATACCAGTATTGGAAACACCCCCAATACTGCGCTAAAATGCTGGATCAGATATGCGAGTCTATGCACCGACCCAATACCACCTAATTTATTGATTAACTTTGAAATAGTTTCACATCTGGATGAAATGGAAGTTTTCCCAGAAATTAATTCTTCTTCGTTGCTCTAAAATAGTACCCAATGCAGCAAGTTGCGCTGTGCAGCTACTGCCAACTGCTGTGTTAGAGGCAGTGACGAAAAATTGATTAGCCGTTAGCAGAATGCCAGCAATTTGTCAGTTTCCATAGGGTGCCTCAAGAATGAGTCCTGGAACCCAGAAATGAGTTAGCATTTTACTAGTTATGGTTCCCCTTTCTCAAAGTCAATGGGTTTTTGGTTAGACGCCTGAAATAAGATCTGTGGTTAGCTTTTTACTTTGGGCTTCAGTAATCATGACAGTGGTGTTCATTTATGAAGATTATCTTGCTGAACAAAACATGATAATCACTAATCCAAAATGCACTGGAATAATCCAATTTGTTTTTTGACAAGGGAACCAGGGCAACACTAACTTCCATGTCAGCCTACAGAAAAACGTCATCCCCAGGGTACTCTGTGGCATTCATCCTCTGTATGTATTTGTTCATGTTTTATCTGGTGTTTAACCTGAGTCAAGCTCTACAACAATATTAACAATCATTTCGCATCAATGCAAGGTTAGTAGCATACAGCTGTTTATTTTTCTTTTTGCAGTGGTATTGCTATTTGTATTGGATGCTATGCAAATTCAGCCATTTCAGCTCTTAATGGATAGGAAAAAATGGTATCAGAACATCTCTAGTTTCCAGTTTGAGTAGGCGAAATACACAAGGACTTAAATCCCAGACTCAAGTGTGCCGAGCAGTTCTTGAATGAAAGTGTGTAACTGTTAACATTTGAAGGACCATATTACTGAAGAACATAAAGATGGGTGACAAATTAAGTGTCTTGGTATGTACTCAGGCCACCAGAACAGATTCAGTGCTTCTTGTCAAGTCTGAGGAACTCTATTAGTGGGATGAACACCATTCCTCCATGAGGTATTCACTCATTTATATATACATCCTTCATTTAACCAGGTATTTTCATAGAGATCAAGATCTCTTTTGCAAGACAGACGTGGGCACAGCAGACAGAAAGAAAAACAAACATAGCTAGACATGATAAAAATGACATATAGCCCCAGAGACAATCACACATTACAAAATAGATAAGAAGATAAAATGTATATTAGATTTTTTGGTCTAATAGTGATGGTGATTTAACTGGGTCGAGATCTGGTGACTGAAAAAGCTGTATAATTTTATTGACATCTTTTTTTATACTCACCAAACCATTCAGTGATTCTAAGTCCACAGAAGCATCTGCATGTGACATGTTTGTCCACCCTATTATTCAGGTTTTTCCATTAATTTGTCCCCTTTGTGTACAGGGTCAGCCAAACTTTCTTTAGTAAATTTAGGACATAGACTATCAATGGCACGTAGCCAGCCCCTTCAGAGCTTTTATTCCCCTCACGGCTTCTGTGTCCGACCTTGAACGTGATGTCCTTTTTTATGTGTTTCTCTTCCGCAGTCAGCTGTTTATCTGGCAGGCCCACAACGCTCTGTTCATGATTCGCTGCCTGCTCAAGGTGTTCATCAGGGAGATGAGCGAAGAGGAGCTGCACCTGCAGTTCTCCTACCAGGAGAGGGCACCAGGCTCCTGTGGAGGTGAGCTCCATCACAGATCAGTTTTTGAAAAGGGAAATGTGTCACTGGGAGATTGAAGTGGGGCCACAAATTGCATAAAGAAATCAGCTTTACAGGATTGAACAACCAGTTTGGAGTGAACGCCTCCTCTTTTGTACACATGGCGGCAGTGTTGTCTGAGGCAGAAATGAAGGTGCTTTAATTTCTACACTTTAGTGCACTTTACACATAAATCCACATCATCTGCTGGAAAATCTTATGAGCAACATTCTTAAAAGTGTTTTGCACCCAGTAGACCCATAAGGTGTGAGTTATTAGATATGGCCACCAGGGTCAAATGTGTAACACTTGCCTTCACACCAAAAGAGAGATAAGAAATTGACTTTTTAATTGAGCACAAATACCCCTGGTTACTGACCTGGATCAGCTGCCTCTGAGAGACTCCTTTAATAAAAGTCTGAATGTGTGTCCACTGACTGCACATCATATTTGTCCTCAAACACGGGCTCTGTCTGAGGTAAGTCTCAGAATAAACACTCTACGAATGGGTGCCCACCTGATGACCTTGATAAACATTAATAACATAATAACACTTTGTTGGTGCTCACTTACAAAGACAATGAAATGATCATTAAAAGGAAAAACAAAAATATAAATTTCAGTTTCTTTTTCATTTTTATCATTCTGCCGTCTCTGTTTGTTGTCCCTGCTGCCAGTATTCACTTGCAAACATGAACTGTGACATTTTCACAAATGCACTTGCTCACATGCAGCTCCCCGCAGACCTTATCTGCTGTGTTGGATGATTGTTATAGAAATATCTTTCTGTGACTTCCTGCAAAATGACACAAAGCTAAATACAGCTTGTTGAAAGTGGTAAAGGAAAAATAATCCAGGGTATGTGCAGGGTTGTGAAAAGTCTTAAAAAGCATTGAGTACAAGTTTCTTTAAAGAAAGGCTTTGAATTTAATTAACAAAGGCCTTAGATATTTTCTCATACCCTCTGTAGGCAGTAATGTTAGTTATGACATTTCTTTGTGTTTGATTGTGGGCTGTCGGGAGATGCTTCACAGCTATTAACAAAAAGAGGTGATTGCTGCCACTGTTGATTGTGTTCACAGGAGGCTGTTCAGTCTTTTTTTGTGGAATTTCAATCAGCACCATCAGACATGCACCTCTGCCTGCTAGCTACAGTAGCAGGGAACTTCATTGTCCCGTATTGGCCAAGTGTGAATTTTAGTAAAAGCTTGAATTAACTAATCAATTTAATTTGGTTAATCCATTCATTCAATTTCTGACGCTTAATTGCGAGCAGGTCGCATTGATTTGATTAATTATATCATCAGGAATTATTGCTCTACACTGCTGAGAAGAACTGAAACTCTGATTTAATAATAAATAATTCTAAGCCATATCGTCTCTCCTGGTTCTTTATCATACTTTCATCGTGAAACAGGTCTTAAATTTCATTCTATGTGGTATTAAAACCGTCTTAACAAGTCTTAAATTTAACTTGGCGAACCCTGTAGAAATCCTTTAATGCCAATCAGCTAATTCCTCTCATGGGATTGGTGCAGTGGGAGTTGGAAGGAGCAAAGAGAGACTATGATCAACAGGGAGCTGCCATGTATGTCTTGTATAATAACTCCCTCGACCCCTTGTGTAGAAACAGGCAGAGAGGACCTCCTCGAGGAGCTGTTGTCCAACCTCATTCACCTGATCGTAGAAGTGCCCCTGCTGTAAGTATCTACCTTGTTTGTGTATTCGAGTGTGCATGAATGTGTGTGTGATAGAGAGTTGACCTAAACACTCAGTTGTGTCTTATAGAGCCGGGGGAAAATATCATTCTGAGATGCGTCGCAATTCTCTCTCAAAAGATTATGACTTGATACAGAAAGGTCAATAATCAGAAATTTAAAGCCCAATTCTTTACATTTTAATCATATGTAACAGTTATGCGAGACCAGGCAGTACGTTCCTCATGGCTGAACCAATTCGATGGTGAAACCTAACAGATGTAAAACACGTGCATTGTGTTTACATTCTAAGCCAGGCTACTTATTGAGTTTTGGAGAGGATGGCTGTGCATGAGCAGCCGCAGATGGGTACAGTCCGACTGGCATTGTTTTAATAAAAAAATGATGGAAAAAAAAAATATATTTTTATTTCGATTATGGATGAAATATGCTTTGTTTTAAATGTAGCCAGCGCTCACACAGTGAGAAAGAAAGAAATCATGTATAAAAATCAAAAATGTTGATGCATTAAGATTAGGCTTGCTGCGGTAGCCGGTTTTACAGGTGTTACTTGGTGTTCAGGCATACGCCGATTACATTACCTGCCCACCACTGTCATTGTGCTTCTCTTATGAATTAGTCAGATGACGCAAGCTTCAGTTATCAACTGAAAGTGTCTGTTCCCTACAGCAGCAGCAAAGTCACAGCACAGATTGGCAAGAGTCAGATTCTACTTGTCATGTTAGGAGAGTAGACCGACAAGATGATGGTGGAGGATTTGGTGCCTGTTTGGCAATATTTTGGATTTAAACTCAATGCTAATTTGGAACCTAATAATGTTAATGAGGGACCAGGAGTTGGTCACATGCTAAGAAGTTGTAGGTGTGCAGCCACATGCCTGCAGCTCTTCATAAGCTCATGGTGGCTGCTCCGTCTTGTTCGTTACTGCTTTCAACATTTCAAATTTATCCGCGGGCAAAAACAGCCAAAACTGACTGATGTTTTGTTTTGTTTGCACATTTTTAATGAATGATAGTGCTAAGTGCTAACATCTCTGACAAACACATTGTATTTCCTGTGACTACTTTATAATTGAAGTCAACTCGTGTTTTGCCAGGTAAATGCTTATAATATGTGTTTCAATGTGCGTTCTGCCGATATTGAGCATCATCGAAGAATATCTTTTCTGTTAAAATGTAATTGATAACACCGGTGTTGTCACAACTTTATTAACAAGTGGGAAAATTCCTTCACCTTGGCATCCCTAATTAAGATGCATAAATAATTGTTTTATATTTGCATCGTAACCTCTGAATCATAATCAAATCAGGAGCTGCAGAGAGATTCCCACCACTAGTTTCTTACATAAATCCTTAACGTCACACATGCAGGACTAATTTAAATACACAACTGTAAAGAGAGATTTTGCACCCCCACACAGCATCTTTCCACATTGCTAATTGTATCAGATCACTTGTTTGACGTTATATTATCAGCATAATGTTCACACAAAAAAATCAAGTATTGGTGACTTCTGTGCTGTTTCTCAGCCCGGCCCATCTCTCAGTTTGACTCCTTTGTTTTTATTCATGTTTGTTGGTTGTTAATGTGTGTAGGATGTTAGTCATTGAGCAGTTAATGAAAAGCAGTTTGTGAAAAGTTTGTATGTGTAACTCTCCCCTTGCGTGCTCCACTGGCTCATCCGCTCCTTGATTCACTAACCAAGAGAAGCTGAAATCCATTACAAAACAAGGTTAGGCTTGGATGTCCATATGTTTCACTCCCAGAGTCGTCAGCCAGACTGACGTGCCGGAGCACTGAGCTGGCAATGTGATGAGCAAAGGGACAGAATTAAAAAGAAAAAAAAAAGGGAAGGGATATGACTAAAAGATGTTTGTTGTTTTGGAGGAAGAGAAAGGGCTTGAAATGAAAGTTGGATTAGGAGCCGTGCCAGTGAGTGGGAGAGGAGGGAACATCATGATTGAAAAATGGTATCATCCTTTACTCCCCGTGGGCGGCGTGCACGCTAACACTCTCTGCTTTAATGAGCGAATATTTCTGTGTGTTTACTCATCAATGCTGGAATTATCTCCTGCCTGCCACTCAGTCTGTCACATAGAGACAAAGATACAGTAGTATGTGCATCTCTGTGGGCAAAATCCTCCTCTGCAGTGTCAAAACAAGTTCACAGAAACATGACTGACAATTGCCATTTTCTTGACGCAGCATCTTCCACTTCTCCTCTCTTCTCCCTTGTCTGTATTGTGTCAGTCTTGATCCTCCTCTCTTTGTCTCTTTGCCAACCAGTCTACTTTCTCCCTCTCTCTGTCTCTCTCCTTCTCTTCTGTTGTCTCTGGACATCAAACCCTGGCTCTTTTGTAAAATGCGTTCAGCATTCCAACGTTATTCATTGTTTCCAGCTTTAAGACTTTTACCTATTTTTCTTCCCTTCACCACTTTGTGACTGTCATCCCATTTCCTCTGTACTCGCTCCTGGTTTGGATGGAAATCTTAGTTTCCCAAAATCCCTGATTTCTGCACTTCTTGGGGCTTCAAAAGAAAGACAAATGCAACAGAATTAGTCCCGCTTTGTTTTTTCCACACATTACTCTGTGACAAACTGCTTCTCTATTAAATTGTTCAGAGACTGTATGTTAAAAAACCTTATTAAAACCTTGGCACAGATAGCTAATTTACTGGTTAAGACAAAGGTCAGGTATAGTTAAGATTATCTTTAAAGACATTTGTTTACAGCCTGTATGTTTAGCTGTATCATTGTTTCACTGACAAGTGTATAGCTGAAACAATAATTCAATAAATTGATTGGTCAGTAAACAAAAAAAATCTACATTTTTGATAACTTATTGGTGTTAACTTAGGATTTTTTCAAGCAAAATGTCAGAAATTCTCTGGTTTTAGCCTCTGAAATGTCAATATTTCCATTTATTTTTTTCCTGGCCTATGATAGTAAACTGAATACCTTTTCTTCTGGACTGTTAGTTGGATGAAAACGGACGATTTCAAGTAGTCAGCCCGGGCTTTGTGGAATCTTGATGGGCATTTTTCACAATTTTTATACACAAAAGAAAATATTCCAGATTTAGCCATGGTGAAAATATTTGTTGAAGCCCTGCATTTGACATTTGTGCGCATCCACGCACACACACAGAGTCAAGTGATAATCGTTCAGTTTGAGATGTAATGGGTAAAGACTGTGTGAAAGTGAAAGGAAAAACCCCGCCCACTTGAGTGAAGGTGTCAGTGGAAGCACGCAACAGTGAAGTTTTGCTTCAATGGAAGGATACTTGTCTGAAGTGGGGTCACTTTTCACTTGTATTGTCATCGTAAACCACATTGCAAGTGAGATACAGAATGCCTGTCACAGCTGTAAATACCCTGTTTCACAAAATGCAAGGTGTGATAAATATGTAATATGTAATAGAATAAATAGACGTCAGTTCTTCTTAGCATTGAATTAATATACATATAATACCTACATTAAAGATGTGATGTAAGATATTATTAACCTTATACGCATTTGTCTTTTCTCTGCAGTGACATCACCTATAGCATCCTGTTTGAAGCAGTGACCACGCTGCTGGTATTCTTCTCCTATCAGCTCTTCCACAAAGACATCCTTCGAGATGGATTAATCTACCAGCACATCATGAAGGGACGATGGTGAGAAAACACCCACGCACAAGTTTATACTTTAGTGAAGACTGCCATCAACTCAATTTACCAAACAGCATCTGTTAAAACTGCACGACTTTGGCGCCCAGTAGCTCACCTGGTAGAGCGGGTGCCCCATTTACTGAGGCTATATTCTTGCCACAGCGGCCAAAGGTTTGATTCCAGCCTGCAGCCCTTTGCTGCATGTCATCCCTTCTCTCTCCCCCCTTCACTCTGAAGCTATCCTGTCCAATTAAAAAAAAAAAATCTTTAAAAAAAAAAAAAACACTACACGACTTAACTTATACCTTAACCAAGACATTGACGCGAACCTTAATCCCAAACCAAGTTTGCATGAAAGTAGAAGTACCAAATGTAAAACAAAGAAAGGTGGAATAAAGTCCTAAAATTTTGACTGCTCTATGAGATAATGCCCAGATGCACCAAACTGACCTCAAAGACAGAGTGGCAATGAACACCAACTGTTGCGACGCCTCATGTCGCTTGTGTCTTGGTCAGAAAGTTGCACTTGAACACACTGCAAAGACTACAGCCAACAGCCAACTAGCACGTACATTCTGTGCCTGCATTAGAGGAGATAAATCTTCATACCAGCAGACAGTGGTGGTCTGTATTTGTCTTTTTCGAAAAAGGGAAACCAGAAGACAGACAAGACGGATTCAAGACACTAGGTAGCCAGGTAGCACATTGACAATACAACCCCATGTTGAAAGAACAAAGGAGATTTACCTGTGTTTGAGAGCAATAACCCAAACATCTCACTTTCTTATCTCTTTGCCTGCACTGAACTGAACTGCCAGTGAAAGTGCTGAAAGTGAAAGTCAGCATACTGAATTGGCCAAAAATAGGCGACAATGGCTGACCTGTGCCAACGGTGCGGGACACACTGCAAAAACTAGGGCGACAGACGCTCACCGATGGCTCGGCAATGACCGACGGCCGACCGTCAGCTTGGTGTGTCGGGGCTCTTACTCTCACTTGCCTCTGTAACTAGGTCATCCACAATCTGTCAACGACTTTTTTTGAACGCAGGCCCAGATCACTTTGGATCTTCTCCAGTCCAATGTGGCAGTGTCTGATCCAGCCTACTGTTCATCTACCCAGACTCTGTTACTCTCTGTGCTTCCAGACAATCTCGTCATGTTCCACACAATGTCTGTATGCGTCATTCAGCTGATACTAAAGGGGACGCTGTGTGACGTTATAGTTTGTAATTTTCAGGGAAAGTGAACCAGTGAGTCTTTTTTAAATCTGATAATAATCATAGACTTTAGAATTAAAAAGGTAATATGTTATATGTGATAAGATAACTGACTAAATGTTAATAAAAGTCAAATCAAATCAACAGCCTGATGCTGTCCTGCGCTCTTAAATGCTTTGAACCCAATTTCCCTCAGTCCATTATTATCTCTAATGGTAATAAATGCAGATAAATGCTGTAACACTGAATGCATTTTAAAGTCAAGAAGTGCAGTTCAGATGGGTGGACAGAGGATGGAAGCAATTTTCTTTTAGGGCTCTCGCAGCATGAGAGCCAAATGAGAGCACTTTGGATTAATTGCCACTGAGCTGAAGAAAGGCTTCCAAGTAGCTGATGTTGGCAAAACACATCTAAAATGGTTTTGCCATTTGGTCAGTTGAGAAAGCAAGGCTGTGCGTAACCAGAAAAACAGTGATATGGGGTATCGTACACCGCCAATTACATGTATGTCACTCACCGGGAGAGAGCTGAAGTGATGAGGGAAGAGACGAGTCTATCCCTGACACCTGATATGGACACCTGTGGCTGAGAATAGGATCTCAGTCTGTCCGGCTGTACACACACACCTGCTTGTGCATGTAAGAACAAGTCGTGTGTTTGGGCTCTTTTTATTACAACATGACTGGATTGTCAGTCAGGCAGATAATGAGGCAGAGATGGCAGTTGAGCTGAACAAGGTTTTTTCTTCAGGTTAGATAAATGAAATGCTTTATACTTTATAATTTATTTAGTTGTCCAAGTCAGACAGAATTGATGTTTCTGTTAAGCAGGAGAGTAACAGCTTTTAAGGCCACAGGACTAGATAACCTCAGGGCTTTTATTTTGAAAAATTTGCAGCTGGGCCTGTGGAACAGCCTATTTTTCAATGTTCTATAGAGAATACCTAAAATGTTGAAGACCCCACATGTTTTATCTCTTCCACAGAAAGCGTGCCCTCTGGTTTCCTGGCTTCCAGCTGTCTTTTTAAACCTCTCTTTCCATTTGTCTCTCTTTTCCCCAGTTTGTCTTTAACCAGTCGGCTGGTGAAGACCCTGCTCTATAACTTCATCCGGCAGGAGAAATGTCCACCTCCAGCAACCCACATCTTTGAGCCGAAAGCGGAGGGAGGCCTGCTTTATGGCCTGGCGTCAGGGGTGGCAAGTACGTGTATACACATCCACGCACGAACAAAAGAAAAAGAAATGACAATAAAGGAGATACAAGTAGTGAGATCCACAGCGTTTATTTTCTAAAGCTTAAAACTATATTGAACATAGTAAATTATTACCTGAGCTTTGTATAAAGTTTGCAAGGCTACGTCCTATTTTAATTTATACCCGTCAGCATCCATTTTTTTTTGTTGATGTTGGGTTTTTTTTTTTATTACATGTGAAAGCCGAATGGACATTTTGGGTGCACTCAAAGTGTGTTTTGCATCAAACTATATGACTTATATCAGTGGTTCCCAACCTTTTTGGATTTTGACTCCCTGAAATGCAACAGTTGTTCAATTAAAGAGTGATTTTTTTCTTCTAAGATTGCTGTATTAAAATGATAAATGACTTTTACAGGCTTTGAAGATGTGGAATTATCTAGAATGATTACAACTAATATTGTGGAAGAGAAATATATGCTGAATATTGCTTGACAAAAATGACGTATTTTCAACAGAAAAGTTGTCACTTTCCTTTGATGTCGCACACCTGGAGAATTTTGTTATGTCACAGACACCGTCATATTTTGTCCTGCAACATAATTGGGTAGTCCCATTACATCACCTATTCAACCTTTAACTCCCCTGTTTAGCTCAATGGACGCACTGACCACTCCTTGTCTTGCGCTACCGTTGTCCTTTCATAAGTTTAAAATGTCTTCCTCTTCAATTAACTCACTGATTTTATCAAATTTCTCCATTATCAAAATACAAAATGATGCAAAGTAGCACAAATATAGATGGAAAGAAACAGATGTCAGAAGGATATGTATACCGATTGGGAAGATATAATGTAAGTAAACAATCCAGCTTTGGATAGCATCTGGTTACCATTGGTTACCATGGTTACCAATTGAAAATGTCAAGTGAGAGTTTTTAAAAGGCCATACCATAAACCAGGCTTTTGATTTATTCTGGACCCCCTTCAGGGATGTGAATGTTACCTTTGTCATCATTCGATCAGTCATGTTGTTTGCCTCTATTGCAGTTTGTTGTCGTGATGTTGCTACATCCCACACATCAAAATGAAGCTGGTGAATAATAGGAATGATGCTCAAATTACAAAAATAAGAGTCAGACAGTGGAAAAAAAGGGAGAATTGAGTGTCAGTGTCTTCCTTTTTTCCTCTGAGCAAACGGGTGAGAAATATGATTAATCTGAGAAATGAAAGTGCGAGCCATGCTGACAGCCGTGGTAGTGTGGATGAAAGTGATGAGTCAAAAATGAACAGCGTGTGTGTGTATCAGACTGGTAATGTGCTCCGTGCGTATGTGTGTTGAATGCATGTTTGTTTGAGTGTGAGAATAGGGCTGGGTTTCCCCTGCAGATAAATGCTCTTTGTCGGTTGTTGGTGGCAGATTCCTATCAGTGAGCCATCAGCATTCAACCCAGCCTGTCTGTCTGTGGCCAGCGATCGGCCCGATGAGTTATGGTGCCCTGTCCTGTTCTGTAATCCCCTAGAGCCTGTCTGTCTGCAGCCGCCTCCCTTATACACACACGCACAGACCCAACAAAGACACAAGCGCTCTTATACTCCGAGCTCAGAAACAACACTTGTTTTCTTTCTCCGTCTCTCTGTCTCGTACATGCACGCAGTCATCGGGGATTGGCAGAACACGCTTTTTAATTTGAATGTTGAAAATGGGTGTAGGCACGGGTGTTGTTCTATGGTAACAGTAAATATCAGCTGAATTTCATTTAATTAAAGGGAAACTCCACCAATCTAACACAAGGGTCAGTTGACCAGACAGGATTGGTATCTGAACGCCTGTGAAAACAGTTGTATGATGTCCTCTGTGGTTCTGGAGGAGCTTTTCCATGTCTGAGTAAACAACCCTTATAATATTTTCAGGGTTATCTCTGCAGAGAGCCTGTGTTACAAACTGGGCATGTACCAGGCAACGAAGGTCTAACAGAAAGATTCTAAGGATCCAGCACTTTATAGAGCTCGACTCATTTTTTTTCCTAGGGCTTAAAGTCAGGATGTAGCCAGGATATAGCGAACACTTTCTACTAGGGCTGCAACTATCAATCTTTTCATTGTCGATTAACCTGTTGATAGGTTTACTCGTTTAATCAATTAGTTGTTTGGTCCATAAAGTGTCATCAGTCAGTGTTTCCCAAAGCCCAGGATGATAACCTAAAAATCGTGTTTCATCCACAACCCAAAGATAATTCAGTGACTGTCATAGAGGGGTAAAGAGACCAGAAAATACTCACGTTGAGGAAGTTGGAATCAGAGAATTTTGACTTTTTTTCTTTTTTTTTTTTTTTCAAAAAAATACCAAAACAGATTAGCAAATTAATTGCCAATTGATTTAGTAGTTGACAACTAATCAAAAAATCATTGCAGCTCTACTTTCTACTTGAATTTTAACCACTTTTCTTCACGTCTGTCTCTTGTGAGTCTCCCAGCTCTCTGATTTGCTTGTTGCAGTTCAACAAAAAATCACTAGAGGGCCCATTTCAAGGTGCATATCAGGGTTTGTTTGTTTTTTACTCACTAAAATCACTTAAAAATCACTAGATATCCATTACTTTATGGTGTGAAAATAAATGTTTAATCCCCAAAACATGCTTGAGTAAGGCCTGTCACGTTAACGGTTTTTGTTGGATAATATTTTGTCCCAGAAATAATTGCGATAAATGATATTATTGTCCTTTTGAGACCAGTTTATGCCGCAGATATGATGATAATCTAATAGCATAATAATACACACTTTCAAAGGGAAATTAAGTTTTAATACTTAAAAATATTCAGACATTTTAATTGGAATGTGAAAAAATATATATATCCTAAATAAATCAAACATAAATAAATGTGTGTCTGCGTGTTGAGGATCTGAGCCCTGTCCATGGTGAAATTTTGACACAGAAAGCAGACAAGGGGACAGAAGCCGCTTGACCAGAAATGACAGCAAAACATGTCTCAGCAAAGTTTTTTCTGTTCACTCTGTTTAGATGCTGTGAAAAAAATGCTAAGGCGCTGCGCCCAAGTCTTTTAATGGTTGGGAAAACCCTGCTGTTCATTGTTGGCTCAGGTGATGGTCACATTCTCATGTAATGCACATAAACACAAGAGGAATGTCATACAATGTATGGAAATGACCTTGATTATTTTTGCTGACCACAATAAGTTAGTATTTGTAGTTATCATGACAGACCTTGCTTGAGTTGTGTCATCCATCTCAATGTGCATCACATTGTCTTTTATCTTTGTCAAAGTTACATTATTGATGCCGTTAAAAACTTTAAAATTGGTCTGTGCTTAAATTCCATTACCACATAACAATAATGTCTTTTTGACAAAAAGGAATCCAGAGTTAATTAAAGGGCCAGTGTGTAATATTTGGCATGGTTTATTGTCAAATCTGAATCTGAAT